AAACGTTATCTGTAAAGCCTGGTTTCCATATGATCGTTATGATCGCCGTGGTCGCTGAGAAAAAAAAAGTTCAGTGATCTCAGCGATCATAGCGATCATATGGAAAACACTTTCCACTGAGTGATCGCAGCGATCAAAGCGATCGTAGCGATCATATAGAAACCAGGCTTAAGGGGGATGCAAAATGCGGATAATTATGTAATTTCTCCGGCTCTCTAAAGCCTGGTTTCCATATGATGGCTACCATCGCTACCATCGCTGTGATCGCTGAGAAAAATAAAAGTTCAGCGATCGCAGCAACGATAGCGATCATGTGGAAACCACTTTCGCAGTGACAACGATCGCTGAGATAGAAAAAGTTCTATCTCAGCGATCGTTGTCGCTGCGATCGCTGGAATCGCTAGAAAGTGGTTTCCATATGATCACTCAGTGATCGCCACGATCGATGAACTTTGTTTTGCTCAGCGATCGCAGCGATCACAGCGATGGTAGTGATCATATGGAAACCAGGTTAAATAAAATAATAATAAGCAACCTGGTTTTAACGACTAATGTTCAACAGTTTCTTTTTTCTCTCAAATCTTATGCGTACATTGTTAATTAGGTATAAAGTGTTCTTTAGGAGTGAGTAAACGACATTAGAATAATGACTGAACTCACTGAAAGGAATCCTAGCTTACAGGACTGAAATTCGCGAAAAAGTGATATAAACTCAATCTAAAATGTCCAATCACAAGACGTCAGTGTAATCAGAACGACTCGTCAGCAATTGTTGTTATAGGCGTAAGTTACTGAACCTTAACAGATTTTTTAATAAACTCTGTTTTAGTTACAACCGTTGTCATTTAGCTGAATTTATATTTTTTGCACTATTTGCACTGTAGAACTGAGTAAAGGCATGTGGGATGATCAGTGGGATGGGGGAAGGTGCACACAGGAAGCCCACTCTGGACGGTTGTCTTTTGGTCCTAAACAGTTTAGACTTTAGACCATCAGTCATGCTTTGTCTTATCTGTCATGAACGAAATCATTAAAACAATAGGCCTTCCATCTCGTATAATTTCTCGTTTTGTATTCATGAGAGAGATCTCAACTCCGGAACTCTAAGCTTACATTCATACACTGCTCTATTTGTGAACTACGGCCAGTTCCACTAAGAAAGACTGAAAATTTTTCGCCTGTTCTTCTTGATGACTTTGGCCATTTTCTTGGCCGCTTCCTTCGGAACTTCGCAGAACAATTCTTCAAATCAGGTAACTTCACAGCGAACCAAGTTTTAAAGCTTTCAAGTCCCAGATTATTCCCGAGAATCTTTGTTAGCAAGAGAAGTATTCAGATGCGGTTTTCTTAGCTTTTTAAACCCAGCAACACTGTTTTGATGCGCTTTCAGGTTCTTTTAGATTCATAATCCGTTCAATATCTTGGTTGCAAACTAGAAACTCAGTTACCAGAGATACAAATTTAATTTATCATCGATTTTACAGGATACAGCATTCAGGGCTTTAGATACAGCTCATGGGCTAGGCTATCTTCAGTTTTCATGAGATTATTAAAGGAAAGAAAACAAAATAGTTGCACTCCACGCACGAAAACCCAGGGGTTTGAAAACAAAGGGGGGGGGGGATAAAATTAAAGTGTACGATTGTTAAGGGGAAGATAGGTAGGTTTGGTTTGAATTATTATATCGTGAAGTCTGAACAACCAGGGACTCGAGAAATTCGCGTGAACAACGCGCAAAATAACACCCGCGTGACCCCCGCGTGTGAACGTAAGTGTGAACGCAATGCTCTCTCGTTACCAGTCTCCTGTCAATGAGAAACAAACGCCTGTTGAATTAACCTGAGATCAGGCCCAATTTGAGCGGTTCTCATACATTCTCTCTAACGGCTACCGCTGAAATTGGGCCTGATACAAACTATTACAATGGCACAAGATCTGATTGGCTGTCGGAAACGCCGGAAGTTGAAAGCGCTTATTCCTCGCGTGGTTGTTTTCATGAATGATCCGTCGTCAGTGGAGAGAAGGATCGATGTTGCTGTCTTTTTTATTGTTTTATGGTCTTATGGTAGGAAAATATGCCTTAATATGTGCCATGGAAATTCAGAAAATTCATGTGGTTGTTCATATCTTCTCAGGATTTGCTTTATTTACGGAAAGTGAGTGTATCGCGGAGTTGAATCCCTCTGCAAGTTGTTGACCGCTAACAAGGTGCATTTTGATTTACCAACAAACGGGTGCAAATCAAAATACTGTCCATCTTAATACTGGTTTCATTTGAAAGATTAGCCGGGAATGACTTCTCTGAACGGGGTACGCAAGCGGAGGCTCACTGCGAAAGAAACCTCAATCGCCAACTGTGAAGTATTAGACGAAAAATATCGCAACGCTGTTCAAGGAATTTTCAGTGTTCACAGACCGGTTGTTTGACTACGCTTTTTGTTAAAAATAAACCAAGAAAACTGGTGTCCTCGCTCGTTGGCTGTTTGCTTTTGTTTTTAAAGATTTATGTACTGAAAATCGGGGGGAAATTGCCGAGGAAAATATCAAGACAACGGAAAAATAGAGATTTCAGTATTTTAAATTCCAGAGCGCCTAGCCAAAATAATAAAACTAGTAGAACATCGTGTCGCCGTCTTTTCGAAAACTTTTTACCTTCTACACCAACAGAAGTAACCTTCGAGATCTCCCTTAATCTCGCAAGAAGTTAAATGTGATTGGGCTGACTGTTTTATTTTTAGCTGAAAAAATTAACTGATAAAAGCTATTTTTTAAGTCAGCCAGTCTGCATTTTTCCCACGCGTAAAAAACTTTGCATACTAGAAAAACAAGCAACGGAAGTAATTCTGATTGGCTGATTCGGCAAATGTCAATCAATCAAAAAAGTGGGCGGCAGACATTTCGTTAAAGGTTTGTATCAGGCTCTCTTTTCGTTTCGTCTTGCCCGCCGGAATGTAATTTTCAAAGCGAAACGAAAATAAAGCCTGATCTCAGGTTAGCTGAATAGCAACCAGGCAAAATTCTCGGGAATAGTATTTTAAAAGATATGTTTTACAAGTTTACCCAAATCTACCTTGTTCGACTCCTAAAATAATCCTCGGGAAGCAGAGCGTCAATCACAGAAGCTTTTAGGAAGATGGATTGTTAGAATTGGCTGTTAATCTTTACAATAAACTTGAGGTCTAAGGTGAGCTCAGGTGAGTTTTTACTCTTTGACGACTGATTTGGGTTTTTGGTCCTTTTTGAACCATAAACATTTTCCTTCATGGACCCATTCAGCTTTTCATTTAAGCCCTTACGATAGAAAAAATGCAAAATCAGCAGCAAATTTTGACCAATACTGACAGAGTTACATGTACGCTGAAATTAACAAGCAATTAACATGTGGGGAATTTTACTATTTACCTGCTACTCTTTGCCCTTTTCTTGAAAAGGTAGCCAGCCAAAACTCCGCACAAAGTAAGACAATAAAGTGGGTAACAAAACAGGCTGTAAAAAAGGACGACAAAAGGACAAAAAAGAATGCGAGGAAAGAATATTGAAAACAGATTCCCAAGACATTCTCAAGACAAACTTTGTCTCGAAATGCTCGAAAGACAAAAATTTTATTACTTTCATCCAACTGGCAGAAAAATTTGCTTTGAGTGTTAAAAATCTCTTTTTTAGCCATTCCCATGTTAACTAGCCAAAAACTGCTCCATAAACTTGGTAAGAGGTAATGGACTGTTTACCCAAAAATTTGCAATGTCATGACCACAAAAACAAAAGAATACTTTGTTTCAGTGACATACCTTAAATTAAACCTTTGGAGTGAAACGTTCCAATTCAAAACTGCTTTGGCTAAATTTCCCCTCCCAACAAACAACAGTAAAAGGTGTATTGGCAGAGAAAATCCTACATTTTCCTTAAGCTGCAGAGCGTTTGGTCTGCAGCTGTGTAGGAGTAAAATTATAAATGTCGGGTAACTCAGACCCTAACCCTGATCATAATCCCAGGGGGGTGCTCTGGATTTCAAGTGACAGGAACGGTCAAAGGATATTTTTGGGTTTGACATTTTTGATTTTAGGATTTTTAAGGTATAGCTTGATTTAAGTAGGTTATTTTAATTTGATGGCATTCAAAACAATGTGAAGATTCGTGATACAGCTGTAGTTATATCATTTAATAATGGTTTCTGGAAATTTTTGATGGCTTGGATATTCAGCATTGGATTTTTTGGGGGTTAAATTTTGGTCCAGGGATATTTTTGGGTTTTGAGTTTTGCCCCCATTCGATCCCTGTCACTTGAAATCTGGCGTACCTCCCCCCGGGACCATAACACTATCACCTGCAACTACCTGCAAACTAAACCCATCATGTATACTAAATGTATCAATGCAATCCTGTTACTCTTTCAGGTAACGTTTCTCTAAATTCACACTGAAGACAGGCCTTTAGGAGAAACTTAGCGATATCCAGCCTCACCCTTTTAATTTCCTTTTTTTACCGCTTTCATTTCCTTTTTACTTATCTTTGCAAATTCAGTTTCCATTGCAACTCAATTTACACTATAGTCAAGAGTGTTTTCATTTATCTAGAGTTTGCAGTCTTGCTTTAAGTCATGAAAGTATGTCAAATTTCCCAATCTAACAGGCTAATGGATCTGCAGCAAAGTTTAAGAGCTGTAGAGTTGTACCTCAAGCTGGTTGCTGTAAAGATGGTGAGTTTACAATTTATTTTAAAAATTGATTTTCAACAAGATGATAATCCGCAGATTTGGAAAAATACCAGCTAATACCAAAAAAAAAAAATAAATCTTCTAAGTATCTTTGAGATTAGAATTTGCCAGAAATCAAGGTATTTAAGGCCAGTAAAGTACATTTAAGTATTGCATTAGTGGGATCAGTTCAGGTTATACACATAACAACTTGCTAGTTCTGCTGTATCGAGATTGTGTGGATGGTAATTTAGTTCAGTTGTGAGTTTCATTAATTATAATCGCTGTATTTTTTTAAATAATTTTAGGCAAAGATGGAAAGGATGGTCAACATGGTAAGTCATCTCTAGGTGACTCGACCCAGTTTTTTTTAAGGGGGTACCATCCTACTTTGAAGCTCTCTGGTATCCCCACCTTTACTTTTATCGTAAGTCTAACACATAGAATGGATAACATATAGATCAATCTACAATATGACATAAAATTTTTTGGCGATCGGAGTAAATGTCACGTGGTTATAATGCCACGCCCCTTTGAGGTCTGCGTCCAAAATCTGCTGTTGCCAGCATTTTTTCGTGAAAATCTCTCGGCTACACATAGTGCGCATTAGTGCCTTGCGCTGAACAGAGTTTCACCAAAATCGCAAAGACCCAATTCGAGAAATTCAGCGGTTTCCAAATTTAGGTCATAATTTATGCGAAAATGATAAGCAAACTTTACACGGATTATATCTAATAAGCTATGAGATTCATCTCTGTATTTTGGGCATCCTTATAACAGATGGGTCCTTGCAAGTCAGCAAAACGCTTTAGGGCCTTGTAAATGCGCGCGATTTCGAGCAAAGCAAACATATAGAAATTATAGTTTTCGCTATTTGTTGACGTTTGTCAGCGTTTGAGAGTCCTTCTCACGAAAAAAGCATTTTCTTAAAAATTCGTGGTTTTTTTTCCTTCAAATTTTTTCAGGGCAACAATTGATTAACTAACTACCCGGACTCTGAATTTCATGGTCGTTGAAAAACTGTGACATTATCTTCTATAAGCTCAAACTTGAGTAAACATTGACATTTTTAGTGCTTTGGGAGTTGGTTGTTACACAAGAACATTTAACTGAATTATTAATTTTTTAAAAATAATTTTACATCTTATTCTTCTTTCTTTGAAAAGAGAAAAGCCCAAATGTAAAAAAAAAGCCCCTCTTTTTGCTTATCAATCTCTTGGTTTATTAGATATAATCCGTGTGAAGTTTGCTTATCATTTTCGCATAAATTATGACCTAAATTTGGAAACCGCTGAATTTCTCGAATTGGGTCTTTGCGATTTTGGTGAAACTCTGTTCAGCGCAAGGCACTAATGCGCACTATGTGTAGCCGAGAGATTTTCACAATAAAATGCCGGCATCAGGCGATTTTGGACTCAGACCTCAAAGGGGCGTGGCATTATAACCACGTGACATTTACTCCGATCGCCAAAAATTTTATGTCATATTGCAGATTGATCTATATGTTATCCATTCTATGTGTTAGACTTACGATAAAAGTAAAGGCGGGGATACCAGAGAGCTTCAAAGTAGGATGGTACCCCCCCAAAAAAACTGGGTCGAGTCACCTTAAAATGCAACAATTTTCCTTCATTACCATTTACATACATTATATGATTTAGAAATAATTAGTCTTTTGTATAATCAAGTGTTATTTTTGGTAATTGCAGGAAAAGATGGGCGCGATGGAGTGAATGGTGATGTACATTATTTTATTAAATGTTACTAGTAATAAAGGCTGAGGAGTGTGGCCAACAATGATTGAATGTCAAAATGCTTTCGCTCCGATCCAGTGCTGTGTTTTGTGTGGTGGTCAAATATACATGATTACGAGTGATATGAGGTCCAAATGCACGTGCTCAAAGTGCGTTCTGTGCATTCCATACATTACTTGTGGAGGTCCAAACGATTGGCTACATACATGCAACATATGCATAATAACAACCTGGGCTGAGTTGCTCAAAGTATGGTTAGCTTTAACCATTGGTTAAGAAGTATCAAAACCAATACGTTGTTAAGGTATTAAACGCTGGTTAACGCTAACCATGCTTCGAGCAACTGGGCCCTGGAGATTAGAATAGCAGGCCCCTCTTGTCGCCCGTGATTATCCTTTATACAAGTACAAACATGTCAGTATATACTTGCCAACTCTTTCTGAGTCAATTTAATTAATGCATGAGATTTTCGTCCTGTTATGACAGGAGTTTCTGAAAACGTCCCAGCCACTTCTGCACATTTCCAACAATTTTCCGAACACTTCCAAACGTTGCCAAAAAATGTGTGAAGTTGTTCTGACAACCTTTGAGAGATTCTGAAGTTATTTCAAGTGTCAAAGGGAAATTGGATCGAATTTTTGTCATATTAAGCATGTGTTAAAGAACAATTCATCCGGATTTGTTTGTGAGGTGTGAGAAATTGTCCTTGTTGATGAGTGAAATCAAGGTCTAGACATAAGTCCCCAGGCATGAAACTCGTGCATAATGTGTTAGAGTTGTCAGGCATACTGTAATTATTCTCAAAATAAATCTTAACCATGGGTTTCCTTCTTGTCATCCCCCCTGTTGAAGCTTAGCTTGTTGTCAGTGTTCTACCCTAGCTTGTAATATTACTAATCCAAGGCTGTACGCCAAGAAAAATTGTAGGGATCCCAGTGCTCTGAACCTGTGAAAAACAGGGAGCCAAGCATCAGATTTGTATGGGAAAGCTAAGATTTCCTACTTGCTCAAGATCAAAAGTAAGTGTTTAAGGGCCACTGACTGGGTGCTGCTTAAAAAGCACCAGTACAGCGGAACCTCGATATAATGAATGGCCAAGGGACTGGCAATAATATAACAGGCTATAACGAGGTTTCATTTTATTGAGGTTTTTTTTCATATATTTTACTGTTACTGGGGTAAAGAAAATATTTTGTTATACCAAGGACTTCGTTATATAGAGGTTCATGATATCGAGGTTCCAGTGTATCACTTTAATTTGTTTATTGTCTTGAACACAGGAAAAGATGGCCGTGATGGACGAGATGGCAGTGGAATAAAGGTTGGCTTTTTTAAGCTTCAAACATTGCTTTCTCTTTTTGCTTGAAAAGTTCAGAAATTCAAATTAAATGACCCATGGAGCTGTATGTCTCCAATAAAATGGTCTCTGTAGTGTGAATGTATCAAGTTGCCCAAAAAGAGGGGCTTTTTTTTTTACATTTGGGCTTTTCTCTTTTCAAAGAAAGAAGAATAAGATGTAAAATTATTTTTAAAAAATTAATAATTCAGTTAAATGTTCTTGTGTAACAACCAACTTTTAGGGTCACTGTAACCAGATAGTTTGCAAAAATGAAACATGACTAAAAAATAATACAAATTATGGACTTATTATAGAATGGGACACAACTCAAAAATAGTTGGCCAGCTTTTTAAAGTTTTGTCACTGTTTATTGGACAAATAAAAATTGCTACATAAAACTATTTGATTTGCTTTTTTCCCCACTGATTCAGTTGTAAAAGTTGCTGTTGGCACAATTTAGAGGAAAAGCACCTGCTCATGTTTTTAAAACAGAACCCACAAATGTGAATAAATTGTATTCCGTACACTGTACCTCAGTTAATTATTTTATTATAGTAAAATGTAATTTCACACTTTCATTTTTTATGAAGTGATATCTATCTTGTTCAAAGTTAATGTTGGCAATATGCTGGCTCCTAATATGGGAGGTTATGGGTGGTTCAAAGGCGATTGGGTTCAGATTCATGTAGTGTAACCTTCCTTTGATACCCTATTGTATGGTTAAGCCTCTAGTGTTAATGCAATGACTAAGCAGCTGTGTGCATATAGATAAACTCAGACCAAATGTTAAATTTAAATGGTTGGCCTGAAGCTGTTTTGATTACTTTGATTTAACAAAAAAAGTGAAAAAAGGTGCACTCTGTGTTGATTCTTGATTTTTTTGTTATGACAAGTAAATAAACTCATTTTAGTGGTGGTACTTGTATGTCCATGAAGCTAATATAAATAAGTAAAATTAGTTATTTTATCAGTGATAGTTTTCGCAGTTTTGGTTTCACTTTTATTTGTGAATATCTCTGTTAGGGAGAAAAAGGAGAAACAGGGATGCCAGGAAATGACGGAAATGCTGGCGTCAAGGTATTATTGACATGTACTGCTTTTTTAATAGTGGTTTGAGTTTCTGGATCCATATACTTAAATAAAACGTCATTGAATATAAATTTAAGTTGAACGATGTAAAATCATCCAAATCATAACCAGACCAGTTAACTTTATTTTGATCTCCACCACACTAAAGACAAGCAAATTGGCTATTCTCTTAGCATTTGTATTAAAAATAACAATGATGATGATAATAATAGTAATAATAATAATATTAATAATAATAATAAAATAGTAATAATATGTAAAGAGGGAGCCCAACTTCCCATAGCAGTTTTCAGTGGGTCCCTCATTAAAGTTACTAAAGTAATTAATTGATAAAAAGTAAAAACTTGCTCAAAAATGAAAAAAAGAGTTAAGATCATAAAATTCGCAGTAAAAAGTACGACTTTTTCCTGGAGTAAGAAGTTCCCATAACATTGTTCCTTATTTTAACTTTGAGGATGCTGAGGACAGTTTCTCTAGAAATGCTTTATGCGTTTACTATGCATGTTATCATTTTATCATGAGGAGATATGCAGCCAATTAGCTTTTAAAGAAAAAAGTGCGAGGACAAGTTGAGTTAGAAGTTTCTTACTTCTACTTCAGTACTCTTAAACGCTTTCACATCTAAGAGATTAATAATGCAGAATAAAAAAAATGAAAATAAAATAATAGAAATAAGATAAAATATTAATTTAAAAAACGTTGCGTAGATGATAACAAAAGTTGCTTGATTGCCTACTTTACCTTCTTAGCTTCGACTTCTGTACCATTATTATTATTATTAGTAGTAGTAGTATTTAGTATTAGTATTAGTATTAGTATTATCATCATCATCTTGTGTGGTTCTTATTATTTCTTTTGTAGGGGGAGAAAGGAGAACCAGGAGTAGATAAAAACAGTAATGGTGGTGTTAAAGTAAGCGTAACTTTATCCTTCGTTTTGAAGACAGAAATGACCAATTTTCAGAATCCAAAACAAAAAGGAAAGCGCATCTTTATCCTTACAGCAACAAAGGACTCATACGATTTTCTTTATTGGTCCTGACCTACCAATGAAGAATCATTAATATTACCTTTGATTTCTCCACAAAGGGTGAGAAAGGATCTCGTGGTGACAAAGGATCACAAGGAGAGAAGGGACCACAAGGACAAAAAGGAATTCCGGGAACTTGTGATACCAAGGTAATTATCATAAAACACTTTCCATATTTAACCAATCTCTATAACCTTTAGTATATATATAATTCTTTTTACGAAAGCCTTATTAATTTTATTACCACAGACTTCATACACGTGTTGCGTGCACGATCTCTTCTTTTTCCTGTTATGTTTAAAGGGAGAAGGGTGCATGATTTAGTGGCAAGGCCATGACAAGTGACAATCGAGATTTTCACTGGTACAAGTCAACTCACATGTCCCACAAGTTCAAGGAAAGAGGAACAGAATAATACTCGCAGTCTTTGTTCACTAACACCAAAGATGATGTTATGGTTAGATTCATATCTCAATGTTATCTTGAAAGCGGGAGCATTTTAGCATCTTTTGGTGTTCGATCAAGGGAGATTGTCGTCAGAAAAAGTTGACTGTACGGGTGTTAAACCTTATAGTTTGCATAAATAAATACATTAGGAGATTGAAAGCTTTGTTAATAAATTGTATTTGTTGTTTTTATTTTGCCTTTTAGAGCAAATCGAAGTGCTGTTTACCAGGTATGAGCATTATTTATTACTGTTGTCTACGATGTACATGTACATTGATTCATTAGAAAGAAGAGCTGCCAAATTTTAGTTTCATGAATAAGTGGCTCCTTCACATGTACATTAAAACTGCAGAAACAACACAAGAGTTAGATGTACCTTTCTACCTTATTTTTCGATTTATTCTAGTTGTTTTTTATAGTAATTGCTTGATAACAAAGATTTTCAACAATTTTTTTTTCTTGTGGAAGATTGCTCTATTGGATTCCACTTCTTTGAGAAAGTTCAAGATCTTCCAACCCGAGGAGCATTAGATGTTGAACATTTCACCATTGATGGAAGCTTGTTTCTTGCTTTTGCCAACTATCGTGGGGACATTAAAAACCGCAAGACAAGTTCCATGATCTACAAGATGGACAACTCAACTGGAAGATTGTCTTTGTACCAGACCCTGCAGACAAGAGGAGCGTATGACCTGGAGTACTTTTCTATTGCTAATAAACATTTTCTTGCTGTCGCTAATCATTGGGATGGAACATACCGGCTGGACTCTACAGTCTATCAATGGAATGGAAAGCTGTTTGTCGACTTTCAGAAGTTATCAACAAACGGAGCAGGTTACTTCACCTATTTCAAGATACTTGGGGAAAGGTATCTCGCAGTAGCCAACTACAATGACGGAAGTACCCATTCTATAAAGTCAGTTATCTACAAATGGAGCAGCGGCACGTTTAACAGATTTCAAGACATACCAACTGAAGGTGCCCTGGGATGTACAGCGTTTGTGATAAACGGTGATACATTCATCGCTTTTGCAAACTATTACAACTCCCAACAAAAGCATTCTGTTCAGTCCACTGTGTTCAAGTGGTCAGGAGGTCGCTTTGTTAAACTGCAGTCTCTTCAGACTTACGGAGCGAGAGGTGTGAAGTCTTTCAACGTCAACGGTCACACGTTCCTCGCTTTTGCCAACCAATATTCTGGAAGTAAGTACAACATCGATTCGTTCATTTACAAATGGAATGGCAATACATTTGTCTTGTTCCAATCCATTTCTACTCAAGGAGGCTCAACATGGTGTCCATTTGTGATCAACGGTCAAACCTACCTTGGTGTGGCTAATTACCACGGTGACAGTCAGAAACATAACACTCAGTCACTTGTGTACCAGGCCTCTGGAGCAAGGTTCATCAAGTACCAAGAGATTCCCACACATGGAGGGCATGGTATGACGTCATTTGAGTACAAAGGTCATACTTACCTTGCAGTGACAAACTATTACAACAAGAAATATAACATAAACAGCGCCCTGTACAAGTGGGTATAGAGCAGGAGGCCATAAGGTCAGGTCCAAGCGTAGAATATATTTTGTGTAGTGAGGAACTAAAACCGTTTCAACTAAAAGAAACTTTATGAGAGTAATACTGTCTATCCGTTGAGAAGGGACTGATATAAGGACGACAATTTTTTGGTTGATATAGTAAAATGTTAGAAAACAAAATGTGCTTTATTATCGCGGCGATTAGTTGCAATAAAGATGTGCTTGGATCACTAAGAGGTTGTGTACTATTATTTGAATGAAAATCCTACAAAAATGAGTCTGTGGTATAACTTGTATTTCTGTTCATCTCAACGTAATGTGTTATAATAAGCACAGCTTGAGCAATCAGCAAAAAGAAAGGAAAGTTTAAGAATGTATAGGCTTTGAACGGTGATTCCTTATGCAAGGAACGCAAGTTTTTATTGGCCCATCGATGAACTTAGAAATGCCGACTAGAGCATTCAGAAATGGCCTTATTTTGATAACCGTCGTTCTACACATTGCCAATTAGATGCCTGCAAGTAGTGTTGGAGCGCTCAGATTTGGAAAACCAGCTCAGCTTTTCCGAAATATACGCGTTTTGAGGCTAAACGAGCCGTTGTCTGCTGTTCACTAACTGCCTATAAAGAGCCAAAACTGCCAGGAACTTCTTTTTCAGGACGAGCACTTTACACCGTCTATTCCAGATGCAAAATATCGGCTTCGGAAGCACGGGTGTGTGCAGAAAGGAAAATTTCGATATTTTGGGTTGAAAAGTTGTGGCATTTTTTCATTTCTCTTCCCTCCTCCCCTCCTTTTTTTTTTTTATTCTTGTTCAGTTTTTTGGTGCTCGGAATTTACTGGGCCTCATTTCGGTAGGAAATGTTTTGGGGAACTCAAGACTTATGGTATTAGAAGGAAGAAAGTGCAGCTGGTTAGTGGAGGATTTTCATCACCATTTTTCGGTTAACGTTACCCTTTTTTTGTCTTTTTATCCTGGCATGTTTTGAAAGATTTCTTGCTCTTACGAAAGTTAGATGACAAAGTCATTAGTCCTTGAGCGCTAAAATTCATGACCTTACGAACGGTGTACAAGGGCGTGGATCCGCGCGGGCAGTTACAGGACGAATTGGGTGATGGGAAAGATCTTTTTCCTATAGGTCAGCAAGGACCTGAAAGCCAATTTATTTCCGTAAGTTTTCAAGACTATACTTAATTACAGAACGCCCTATGAAAACACAAACCTCGAAAGAACTTCAGTACGACACCGCCGGATACGAAAACTCAAAACCACTTTGTGGAAAAAGGGAAACGCACGCCCACAACTGCGGAAATCAGCTGCGGTGCCGACAACTCGGGGGCAGAGGTACGCAAAAACTAGCTGCCAAAAGCCTACAACCAAACACAACACTTGAAATATAGCAAATAAAATAAAAGTTAGGAGCTGGAATGAATGCTGACCAAGATTGATTCAAATTTGCAACGTACAACTAAACATATTTTAAAAAGGCTACCCACAATTCCCCCTAACCGGCCCAGTCCCTGGTCCGTGCCGGAACGGATTTAGACCTAAATATAACTCTGACATGGCTTCTGAAATGAGGTCCAAACCAGAGGCAAAGAAGATACATGACTGTAGAACTTGTGAATACGTAATAAAAGTTAGAAGATATCAGGGACCGGTTTAACTTTAGAATAAGTTTCAACAAAAAAAACGGTCAAATTATTGTCTACTTGGTTAACTCTTTAAGCCCTTAGAGTGATCAGCATCAAATTTCTCCTTGTAATATCAATGTTTTGTTAAACAGAGTGGTCATGAGAATTACGCACATGATCACACAAGATGAATTTCTTTGATATTTTATCAACTTCTCCTCACTACTTCTGTAGGAAATGAATAGGTGCAACAAATGGGAATGCAAATTTTGATCTTAGGGTTTAAAGGGTTAAAAAAAGAACTAACATTGCACCGAATGCTAATAGTCTTGTAAACTACCTTCCACCCTACCTTAAGGATGGTTTCTTGTGACCACATAAACTCCGATATTTTCTTACCCCTTCAGGATTAAACAGCTATAATCTAAATAAATTGGACCTTTCCGCTTTAGTGTAATTTTACTGTGGATCCATTGTAAGGTTTTCATTCCACCTCTTTTTCATCTCACACGTTCATTAAAGAAAACTAATTAATGTTAATTAAAAAAAGATTTTCTGGATTGTACCGCGCTTTTCTACGTTGATGGGAGTAATCAGTGGCTCGTGCGGGAGTTTCCATGATCTTTTGCAATCTATAATAAAAGATACAATTTTGCTTTTGGGAACGTATTTCATAGATTTTAAGCCTAAAATAGTGAGATAAACTAACATAAAAGTCAGGACTCGTGCTAGAACAGCCGAGCGGAGTTCATGTTTCTGGTCCAAGACGGCGTAATCCTTATCAAATTACACGTCAAATACACCACAATCTTGGTATTGAAACAAGAAAAGTTGATGGCCAGTCTCGTCGTGCTAATCGAGCTATTGGCGAAACAAGATCACAATCACAGAAAAGTGCTAGCAGAGCTTTTCTAGTGAAACCAGGTGAAAACGCCGAAAGAGCGAACCCCTCGGTCTTCCATGTCTTCTTGGAAAGATGAGCGATCGAAACCTAAGCAGAAAGAGTGGGGCGCTGAGCAGCCCTCGTCAGCTGTGTTTGTTCCTGTACCTTATCTCAAGCGCACGACTCCAGAACCACAGCGAAACGAAACTAGTGTATAGAGATTTTTTTAGTGCATGTGATGGACTCGTCACTGACATTCCCCATTCCAGAAACTAAAAGAGGAATGGTTACAAGCTTTCGGCGCAAAGATTTCTGGGATCGTCTGGGGTGATAATCGTTAGTTATGATTGGTTAATGGTTGTCTTGAATACTATCGACTAACTCGACCAATCATAACTAACGCTTGTCAACCCAAACGATTTAGTTATTCTCCTAGGGCTTCTGGAATGGAGAATTGAAGTAGTGTGTACTTTTATTGAAAACAGTCTATGTACAGTGTTAACATTTTTTTTTTTTTGCGGAATTTATTTTTTAATATATATATTTTTTAACCCACACAGGTAGACTTTGTCTTTTGTTTGTTACAAGTTGGAATAGCGTTGTTAAGTGAGAGATGTATGTGTTGCTCCTTGATGCAAATTTAATTTTTCCTATAAACGCAGAGAAAAGTGAAATCAGCACCAAGGATGAAATTGAAACGCGGCAAGCTAAAAATGTACAAGGGTAAATGTCGAGATGAATATTGTGTTGCAGATAGAGAGCATAGTAGGAAGGACATTATGTATATATCTAGTCTGCGTGCAAACTCTCCAGGGCGCTCTGGCGACGGGCAGGAAAAGAGAGGAGAGCTTGCAACTGCGTCTCTGTAATTTGAATATTTGCATCGAAAAAGTCAATGCGAAATACTGATTGGCAGAGATGACATTTATAATGGTGTCATTACACTTGGTATGTGTTTTTTAATGTTTGTTTACATTCGCCCTCGTTTCCGATTCGCGCTGATGAGCCACTGGGGAATTGGAGGTGGAATTAAAATTCTAGAGACGTAGATAGTGGGAAGCTCTCCGTCCTCCGTTAAGACTAAGACCCTGTTTACATGGAGTGGGGGACCCCGGTCTAGTGGGGTTGGTTTCTTTTGTTTTCACGCTCTGGGGGACACAAAACAAAAGAAACTTACCCCACTAGACCGGGGTCCCCCACTCCATGTAAACAGGGTCTAAGTTAAGTTTATGTAAACAATGCAATTACAACCACCCTCATTAGTGTACAGATGGGCGTCGCTGAGTCAATGTATTTTTAGTCATTTTTAAGAATGTAGCTCTAAGTTTCGAGAGTGCACAAAATCATGTTCGGACCATTCAGATGAAATTCCTTCAGCTTTTTTTACCATGGTTGGTATATTTTTTCGTCATTTGCTTATTTATTTATTTTTTACCGCATAAAATTTTGGAATTTTGGTTATTGCACTCTTGGGAAGTTAGAGGGTCAAGAAAAAGGTTAAACGATTTTTACTAGGAGGACAGGCAGTTTGTGAATAAATTAGCCTTTCAGCTCTGAATTTCAGTCGAGTGTGGTCAGACTTAAAAAAACACTAATCTTTGTCCAGCCAGGGCCAGCCAATCACAGAGTCGAGCAATCTAATCAAAGGCAATAGTAAAGTGTGATGTCATAAAAAATAAATTTGTGAAATTATGGGATTTTTCAGGGTATTATGAGAGAACATCCAAAGCGACTAGTTACCAAAAATTAGCATTCCACGGCAAATTAGCCCAGTTATGCTTTGATGACTCCAATTGTACAAATCCTTCTAAATTCAGGCTGCTAAATTCGACTCAGTTCATAACATCAGGCACCGAGTCGAATTTAGAAGGATTTGTGTGGAGTCATCAGAGCAAAACGGGACTAGAATCTTCGAGTCGAGACAATTTGCCCCACAATGCTATTGTTTGGCCAGAAGGCCAAATGTTGTTCTTTCAAAATATCCCAACAAATTCAATAATTTCCAAAATTGTATTTTTGTGACGTCATCGCTTTAGAACACTGTGGTGCGAAAATGCTGGTTGTGAATAAGTCCGTATTGTATAGATTACAGTCAAGATAGGTCAAGCTTACCCCCCAAGATTCTATTACTGAATTGATTATTTGAAAAATGAATCCGTTAGTCGCTCCCGTAACTGGTGTCAAATTCAAAGCGGCATTTCTGCATGCGTAATGAGCAGTGAATATTTTACGAGAACTTCTCTGTATTTGGTCAGATTGAAAATCTTTGAATGGATTGAGTTTCTTAAAAGGCATTTACATCAAATTAAGGAAAACGGAGCTGGTAGAAATTTCATAACTGCCTCGCGTGTGAATTCACGGCTCATTACACATGCAAGAGTGCAGAGATCAATCTGAAATCTACAACTACCAACGGATTCAACTTTTGAATAATAAATTCATTAATGTATTCTTGGGGTGTACGCTTGACTTGGTTTGACTGTAAACCTGTGATTGGTTACGACACTGGCGCGATATTTTCCTAACCGACCATCAACGCACCAGAACAACACCAAGGCAATCACTGAACACGCTGTGGTTAATAGTAGTTTCGTGGTCTTGCGGACCGTGCTACGTAAAGCAAGACACAAGACACACCTACATTTTGGGGACGCTCGCTGGCGCATCAAACCCCGCTTAAACGCTGCAGAAACGCTTGTTTCCCAGGCCAATAGCAATGCTACTGCATACATTTCAAGGGAGGTTATTTTCTTCCAAAAGGACCCACGTTTCGGAGAAGTCAGATAGCGATCGTGTCTTCCCTTCCTCCCCTTAGGAAGATTTGGATCAGTGTAAGATTCTGGAGAAACTGGCCACCTACCCCTCCCCAAACACAACATTTTGTTCTAAGTGGGAAGTTATTGTCAACGTTGGGTTACGGGGAGGGGTGGGTCTTGAACATCCCAAGTCTTTCAGGTCAAGTGTTACACCTTGAGGCGTTTTGCTAGCTCTACTTTAGAGAAAGACTCAGTAACATTTACTCGTTGTTTTTACTTTTCTGTAAACACACTTTTAGCCTTCTATAAAACAAGATGTGTGATTGGTCATAAAGTATGAGGGGTAAGTTGTAATGTACAGAAATGCAAGATAAACATTTTTTAAAGGGGAAAGGTGGGGGTGGGGGGGAATGCAGCAATGAATGCGGGCTGAAGAACTTCTTTAAAACTGTTTTGAGCACGCAATTTTTCAAGGACATCTTGTTCCTATCCTCACAAATATTACTCTGCTGATGCGAGTATTAATCAACTGTGCTAAGCAAGAAGAAATTATTCTGTTTCTGACACCATGCACTGCCCGATGAGTCAGGTTTTTACATCCACTGCTCTGTAATGTGGAATCAGTGGTCCAGAAGAATTTTCCTGAAATGGAAAAAAATGTTGTGAGTGCGAGTAAAAAAGGCTCGGAACACTTCTTTCTCTGCCTCTCCTAAGGCGCCTCGTTTTTCGAGGAGACGCAAGCGCGAAACGCGAGTGACACGCGAGTGACTGGTGACAAAGGGCAAAGGAACAGAAGAAAGAAGAGAGGCGAAATCTCGCCCGTTTTCTCCTTCCCACCCAACCTCGTTCCCAGGGTTCTGTCCTACCCGTCCCTACGGAGCGAGAGAGGGACAGGTAGGAGAGAACTCTGGGAACGAGGTTGCTTCCCGCCTTCCTTTGCGCGCAAATTTTCATCAAGAGAGAGACGACTGGGTACAAGGCAGCTTCTTTCTCCTGTAGGGAGTTGCATTGCATGACTTAATAGACCTTGAGGTCCTGCAACGACGACGAAGGCAACGAGAACCTCAAAAAAGCATCAGGTCAAAAGGGACTATGTCTTCGCAAAAATAAAGGTCTAGTTTTGTTATTTATGACTTTATTCAGGCACTGAAACTATTTCCCATCGTCTGTTGCTAAGGATGCGATGGCAAGGATGAACACATGGAATGAAACTTAAAAAAGTTAGGCCAACTTTTTCGAGTTTTAATGCTATGCCTGTAAAAATCACAAAACAATTAATTATTATGGTTGGTGCTCCCTGGTCAAATTTGTTTGACATCTTCTTCATAACTGATTCTACGGGAGCATTTTGTGTTTGGGTGAAGGCACTAAGTTATGACTTCAGCGAGAAATGGACCTTAAACAACAATATCCTCGTGACATAGCTCCTTTAATAAGCAAAACAACAACTTTGCATGTAAAGAACACTTTGTTTTGGATCCTGGCTCCAGAAGTCCGCCCTCGAAATGACCTAGGATGAAAAAATTCTAGGGCATCCAGGGTAATTTCTTTGCCGTCTTCACTGCACGTGAAAATGCCTAACTTCACGTTATATGGAGGGCGTAAACAAGCCAAGAGGAAATTTTCCTACTCTTTCTGAACTTGGATATGGTTCTTAAGAATTCAATTTCAGGGGAAAGTAAGTAGATTGGAATGATCGCGATGAAGATTAAAAAAACGGGAATTCAGTTTTTGTGCGACGTTTTCACCGTCGTCGGATCTTTAAGTCCCTCATAAAGGGCAGCATAGCCTGCGTAGCAGGCGCTTGGAAGTAGTGGGCTCAAGCGCTTGTTACGCAGGCTAAGGGCAGCATAGAAGATTAGAGGTAATGTTACAAAGAGACAATACGCAACGACGACTTTTAGCGCAACAAAGCGTGGCAATGTTGAAACAATGCTGCAACCATTCAAAACAATATCGCAACAATGTATTGCGCTAAAAATCGTCGTTGCGAATTGTCCCGTGTAACGTCACCTTAATAGTCAGCAAAAATTAAGGACCTGTTTACATGGAGGGGGGACCGCAGGTAGGTGAGGTAACCTGCCACATGTTACCTCACCTACCTGGGGTCCCCCACCCCCATGTAAACAAGCCCTTAGTTGACAAAAATAATAATAACCATACCTCTTGGGTCCAGAGATTTTCGCTGATGTATTTTAGCGTTAAATCTTTCCCCATTTCCGTCTTTTCAAACAGGATACCAACCTAACAGGAGACATGTCATCAGCAAGCGTGTGAGTTACATTGAATATACCTAATTGAAGAACTGTCGCTTAAAAAGTATAAATCATCAACGATATGGGTATACTTCCATAGCAAAGTGAATTCAAAGTTCTTTCAACAGAGGGTTTCATTGTCACGAGCAGCTGGTGCAGATACAAATCCCTAGGGTAATTTTTTTATAGCATGCCGTTGTCTTTTTATGTCTTCCAAGAACGCTTTTGGGTCAAGAGTGGGTTAGCAATATGGCTACCCTCTTTAACCATAGACATCTCACAGGGTGATCTCACTGAAGTGCCCGCCAAAGCTGAAGATGCGAGCTTCCCGTCGCGAAAAGCATCGATAATCATGCATGTATACTTTTCTGGAGAGAACTTTAAATTTGCAACGGTGATAAAATTCTACCAATAAATCCAATAGGTCCCATCGTTCATGGTATATACTTTTCAAGCGAATCAATCAGATCAGTTGTATAACGAACTTGTGATCAAGGACAACTAATATCTACACTATCCGATCAGAAGACTCGTCGACCAAATAAATTTGGCGTCTAAATACTGGACAGAGTAAACTGTGCGCGCAGTATCTTATTTCCCTTTTCAGTTAATCCACGCTAAACCGTAGCACGCGAGCGGCAGGCGACGCAGCCGCAAGCCGCGATAAACGAGGGCGTATGCCCACGGAAGAGAACTCGACGGATTCAAAGGCGGACTGCCAGTTGCAATCTATACACAGAGTAAAAATCATGCGTTTTCTCATCCTCATAGAGCCAAGCACGAATTTGTAGTAAGGCAAAGAACAGTCCCAAAAGGGAAAAAACTCAACGGCACCCATTTCTTACCCTCTGCTTTTAGAAATTTTCCCTGGCTTCATTATCTATCTCTTGGGTCTCTAATAATGTGACTGTTTGTTTGTTTTGTTTTTTTTTTTCCCACCATCACCATTTCTGGCCACATATGTATACAGCAAAACAGCTGTATTTTGCGTTGGCCATGAATGCGAGCACTGGTAAAAAGAAAAGGTCTGGAATACGGGTGTAAACGAAGTGATATGATAAGCGTGTTTCGACTTCAGGTAGGCGCGTTTCACTTTTGGCGCAAAGCGTCTTACGAGCAGCGATTTAGGTTTAAAAGGGACAAACTAAACTGCAATATTTTTACCATGTTCGCAGATTCCAAGTGTAGTTTAGCTGCCAAAAATCTTTGTATTAAGCCAATGGTGACTTGTGTTGAGAGTCTCATGTATTTCTTCTGAAGTGGCTGCAATCAATCAATCAATTAATCAATCAGTCAATCAACCAGTCAATCAGTCAATCAGTCAGTCAATCAACCAATCAATCAATCAATCAGTCAATCAATCAATCAGTCAGTCAGTCAGTCAGTCAATCAATGAACCAATCAATCAATCAATCAATCAATCAATCAGTCAATCAGTCAATCAACCAATAAATAAAAAGTTCACTGCCATTTATTCCCTAAACGCTGCATACGTTTTTCCCTTTTGATAACATTCTTTAAGTTCTAACCCCCCCTCCTTGCCCTCTTGAGAGTAGCGAGCCATTCAAAAACAACAACTAACAACAACGCAGATACATTTATGGTGCAAATGAGCGCAGGGCATCAATTGGGCATTTATTTCTGCTTTCGTCAAATATTCTGATTTGTTCAATATTGCATACAAGTCTTTATGAGACTCCAATGGCTTCTTGACCTATTTCAAAACTAAAAAAGAAGCAATGTCAACATTTACCTGTATTTTTGCTGGGCCACCACTTCCATCTCTGCAATTTTAACAAGTAAACAATAACATTATCGTCCAGCCACAAAGAATTGAAGTTAGTTATAGTTAGTAATAGTAATATCTATTTATTTATTTTATACATTACATTACACTTGATTTGTATAGCGCTATTTTCGAGCCTACAAGCAAGCAATGCCACGCGAGTGCGCACTGGCTAAGCTGGCTGGATAATTCCAGAAAAAAGTCCACAAAACAGTGCTAATTACATGCCTGGACAATTTACATCTGGCATGTAAGATATACTGTATAATGCAATAATCTAATTGAAACATAATATTTTATTAAGCCTCTTCTTAACACACATGATATAAGCCCTTTTAAGAAGACGTATGTCTTGGTGATGTATTCAGACAGGAGGACTGGAGTTAAACATCAGTTAATTTATCAGTAGATGTTTATTACGCATATAATATCTCCTAGTAAGTACATGCACTGTGATTGGTAAACTTTGCTGGCCATATTTCAGTATACTTCCCTAACATGTTCCCTTTCCCAAATGCCAATTAACCTCTCAGATAAATAAAATTTTTTACTAGCCTCATACTCTCAGTCCATTCTTAATGTTACAGATCCTCATTTTCTCCATTGATTTATCGCCAATCCACTTCACAAAGCGGCCATAAATCAATGGCAAAAAAACTTGGTCAGTAACTCACAGTACATACCTTGAACTCAATTAGTACAAAATACAGCGGAACCCCAGTTTATTGTAAAAACCACCCCGGGGCGAACTTGATATTTTAAAATTACACTGTCTGATAACATTCTATTTGGTCAAAAAAGTGAACATCTTGCAGTGGCTTTTGGTGTACATTTGTTACATCTTTTCCAGGTATTCATTTATGGAAACAATGTTATCTTCCAGACAGTTTCATGCTCTTGTAAGCCTAGTTAAATAATCTATACAGGTGTATCACTTCATCTCGCAACTAATGTAAAAAAGTAAGGTATATAAGGCGCACACGAGTCAAAGGCCCAAACAGCAGGAGCTTATTCCGATTTCCTTAGCATGAAGCATGCCTAGGAGTATTGCTACTCCCCCCTAGACGGAATGTTAGTCCATCACAGGATTGGAATTTTGCACGCATCTGCCTGCTGCCAAATATCATCAACTTGGTTTTGCCAGGGTTTAGTAACAATTGATTGTTGGAACACCATTCCCCTATTTTAAACAGGTCGTCTTCCAAATCAGCAATTGCATCCAGGTTGGCTTTAAGCTCGAAGGAGGTGATGAGTTTCGTATCATCTACATAACTCTGGGTGCTGCATTTCTGTGGGATCAATGGAAGATCGTTCGTATATATGCTAAAAAGAAGTGTGTATTGATAGTGATGTACATGTATAGAGCAAAAACAACAAATTTAAATTGCAATTTATGAAACATTTTCTTGACCTTACATTATAGCAATTAAATTGAAATGCATGTAGTTGGAGCAGGGTCAGACCAAAAAGAGAAAAAAAGAGATTTTTATATTATTATTTTAAGCACTGACAATAATGGATAATAATATTATCATTTCTTAAAATCAGCAGAAATACCTCTGGGGGCTGGATATGGTATCTGCCTATCTTTATAAAACTTGTGTTCTCTGCGCCTTTCCTCTAAAATCAAAGAAACAGGATGCACTAATCAACAAGGTTATATAAATACATGTAGCTGGGTTTTAATACTTAAATTCTGGGTTCAGTTCAGGCTCCTGTAGGGACTATAGCTGGAGAAGCATGAAACAGCCTCAGTGGTCACATGAATAGGAGGGAGGGAGGGGGGGGGGGGGGTCACTTATGAGAATGAGAATCAAAACACAAGGGACTCTTCTGGGAACATGTGTGGTGACTCATCTACTAATAAAATATTTCATTTGAAGAATTACCAATGGCTGCATAAAACTTCTACAGCAAATACACAAATGTACACAAGGGTCATTGACATAAGAAAGTCCTTCTGTGTAGTACTTATGGAGTAAAAATAGAGATCACATAGCATGGCAATTAGCAGTCACTTACAGGAGGCTAAAACAACCCCAAACTTGTTCACTTTCCCTTATGCGAGGTTCCAACAATTACCGGTATAGGGCTTTGATGGGTAAAGTTTTTGTTGTTTAATTGGGTGCGTGGTTGTTTAATATGGGAGGTGGTTGCTTATGAGACATGGTTGCACATGGGGTTTAACTGTTAGTAGTAATTTCTTAAGATGAACCACAGCCCAAAGCATCAGGGATGTAGCTCTTATAGTCAATCACTCCAGTACATTATTAATGACCCCTCCCCCCCACCCCATTCCTCCTTTTCAAAACCTGTAGTACACACACAAATATAACCTTAAATATTTCACATTCTCTAAAGAATTTCTTTTTCTGGAATCAGAAGTCATTATTTTAAACAAGATTCTCAACTATTCCAGGTGATACCGGTATTTTAGATTTGGCTGATTATTTAACCCTTTCACCCCTGGAAATTGCTTACAAAAAAATTCACAAAAAAAATCAATATTATTTCCCTTAAAATCCTAAGAAAAAATAACAAAGTAAAACAACAGAATTGTGTCCACGCATTTTGAAATTAAGGTGATAAATAATCTTGACCAAACTTGGGGTCAAAGTGAAAGGTTCAATTAATTGTATCATCTAATCAGAAACTTACAGAAACTATAAATAGGATAGTCAGTATCTTATCATCACTTCATGTGGGATATTTCAGGCAATGTCTTGAATCAGGTTTGTAAAAGATTAATATAATTTACCGTTTTACTCTTAATGGTAGCTCACCCCTTTCAATCCTTGGAAGGAGCTTGTAAACAATATCTTGCATAGTTCTGTCACGTCTGTGAAGAAAACGTGACTCACATCATTTCTAGTATATACCCATAACAGAAACATATGAATAAAAAATTTAAAGTCCAGAATACTCTGCAACAGACAGATTTTTTGCAAAACTTCTTGCCAATACTGGAGAAGGGTTTCACTACAGTCATAAAAAATAAAAATTGTAAAAATATTATCACTCAAATATTATTGGCATCAAAACATTGCAACCCTTAAGTTTTACCTGATATTGTAAAGTGGTTGTGTCTCATGAATAACAGTGTTGTATGCTGGACATCGATTGACAAGTTCAATATGTCTCACAAGGCAGCTCTTGCAAACTAACAAAATAAAATATAAGACAAAATATTTAAGTAGATCATGTTATTGACCTCAATATTGGTTTGGACTGTACTGAGGAATATTGGCACAGAATAATTAGGGTATCCATGATAAAAATTAATATATATTTTTTAAAAAAATGTTAATTATTCTGCGGAGACTTTGGGGATTGCAAAAGATTCTTCGATGTTTCTTATTTCAATTGATTGTTGACAAGTTTGTCACAAGTCAAGGCACACATCCCAGCCAAAGATAATCACGCAATTCACTGCTATCTACAAGAAATCATGTTGTACAATGTCAAGGGGTAAATATCCCGTTTGTCTAGTTTTTTCTTGTCTTCCACATAAAAACACGAAAGATGATTGCTTTATTAAATCCAATTGTTTACAAGACTGCAAGGGATATAGTAATCAAGACCTGTTTTTTTGTTTTGTAGTTTTTTTGTCATTGTATGTGGCATGATTGTCAGCCTAATCAGTATTTTCAAGTAGTATTCAAAATATGGGTACTTTAATGGTTACAGAAAATTAGGATCCTTTTTGTATTAAAGAGATAAATAATAATATTTTCATGTGTTAAAATAACTAAGCTGTCTGAATAAGTTTTGTGTTTGAGCTGTCAGGGCAGCAGAAATGTTTTCCTGCGGTGTCAATAGAACTATTGTTGTTCCTTGTCGGGTACACATCAACATTGACAGCTTTGGTTTTATAATCTCGTTACAGGCAAGATGCCGCAAAAAGTCTATTTTTCTTGTTTTCTCAAAATGAAAATCGGGCTAAGTTGAGCATACATTAGAAACTACATGTACAAGTTGACAATTAGGATTTCTACCTTGCTGGTCCATACAAGTAATCCTCTAACAAAATCATTATCGGAGATGAGCAAGAAGTGAATGCTGCTTGCAAGCTGGAATTTAAACTCTGATGGTTGATTGAATACACAGGAAAAAATAACGGATTCCCATTTTTGGATATTTTGGGGTATTTAAAGAATACCCACAAAAATCCCAAATTTGGAAGAGTGAGACAAGTCCCAATCTGGGAACTTGGTTGGGAATTCCCTGGTTGGGACTTGTCTCACTTTGCCAAATTTGGGATTTTTATGGGTATTCTTTAAATACCCTAAAATATCCAAAAGTGGGAGTCCGTTATTTTTTCCTGTGATAGGACACAGACCTCAAAATACATTTCTGTATACTGCATGCATCTTTTGTTACCTTTTAAGCTGTTCTTATCATTTTTGAACCAAGCAAAGATTAAAGGAAGAAAGAAATCAGTGTTATTCACAAGACCAAGAAGTTTTATATTAGATCACCCCTAAAATTATACAAGAAAGTGCTGCCCTTAACTTTAGCACCCACTGATAATTCAAAATTGCAGCCATGAGATGGACTCCAAACGAGAGGAGGAAAAGAGGTGCCAGCCAATTAAATCCAGCTGGTGGAGACAGTCAGATGATCAGTAAACAGCTGGAGGAGATGGGTGTAACATGGAGCAAAGTGCAGGCCAAAGCTCAGGATAGGCTTGAAGTGTTGAGGTTTGATTGTGGCCTTTTGTCCCAGCTGGGATGAGGAGGTTGAGTGAGTGAGTGAGTGAGTGAGTGCGTGCTTTGCCGCTTTTGCGAATCTGTGAAGTCCTACTAGTTTATGTTCACAGAATCTACAGCTACTGTCTCTAGCCAATATTCCCTAGTCTATCCCTCATACTAGGTCACTAAGAAAGTCATGTAAATTCGTGGACTTACAAGTGTGCAGACATTCTGTTATGGTTGCTGCATCAATAAGATATCCATTGCACAATTTGCAGGTTATGTGTTGATTGAGGTTTACCAATGGTAACTTGACACGTTTCTGCAAAAAAACCCAATAATTTCCTTAAAAAAAATATAAGCCAACAGCACCTATCAGCACCATACAGCACCCTACAATAAGGTGGGCTCTGTATGGTGCTTATTAGATGGGTGCTGTTGTTTCACTTATAATTTGAACTTAATATAATTTACTGCAGGGTTTGAGCCAGCATTCACACCTTAGGAGACATTTTGTCCTTTCAAGCTCTTATTTAAGTAGACAAATAGAGTTTTTTTTTTATTTTCTTCTTTTGATATCTGGCTCAAGGTACATATCAGTACACAGCCAGTCAATTTTGAATCAGGAAATTATGCTAATTTGTATCTCATTCCCAAATATGGTCATGTTTATCAGGCGTTCATATCATTAGTTGCGGCTGGGGAGTATCCTTCAAGTTAACATCACCTGATGTTTCACATGATTTGGAGAATAACTCTATTTAACCAGCACAATCAGAACTTCATCCAAAGATTGCACAATTTGAGTAAGACAATGAGCGAATTTTACCAACACTTTGCAGAACCAAACAGACTGTGAGGAAGAAGTCTGGAATTCTTTCTCACCTCTGTATGAGCACCTCAACTTTCTTTACAATAAAAAATTAATCCAGCATGAAATTGAGTAATTTTGATTTTCAGTGGACAAAAATCTAGTACCAGAAAAATGTAAAACATATTGCATTCCTTTTTACAATTTTCAAGACCTAAAAATGTAACAGATCATCTGTACACCAAAGAAAATTTCTCATGGGAGCCCCAGAAAATGAATGTCAAATTTCACAAAATTACATCTTTCACATGAAATTTTCAGAGATTGACCTGTGTTTTCACAATTCTTGTGAAATTTGACATTCATTTTCTCGGACTCCCTTGAGAAATTTTCTTTGATGTTATTACAGATGACTAATTGAATACATCTTTAGGCTTTAAAAGATGTAAAAAAGAATGCAATTATTCTTTAAATTATTCTGGTACAAGGTTTTTGTCCACTGAGAATTAAAATTAGAATTTAGTTCAATTTCCTAGTGGATTCCATCTTAAGGTGATTCCTTAGTAAAAGAACCTAACATGGATTGTAGATGAAACCGGGTACACTGATGTAACAAGTCAAGACACTAATAAGGAAGTAATAAAAAGTGGGGATCACTGCGCTCGTTTTGATGTCACAATGCTGACAAATACGGCTATTTGGGACCCTTTGGCAAAAACCGTGCACAGCCCAAAACTAGACAAAAAGAGGGATTTTTTTCGATGATGCAAGCGCTATCATACAGAATTTGATTT